TTTGATATACCAGTAAACAGGAAATCCCAAATGTCAATCTCTGCATGCAATAAGTGATCTGTGTATAGTGCATTAAATGTCTTGATATCACCTTTATCCTTCAATAAAGAATTAAGTCATACACCCTTGTACCAACTGCTAGTGCCATGTTTTCAGATTCAATATTAGTATCATCAGATTGCACCCCTGTTAGCAAAAATTGTAAAGTTGCTGTTGGACAAATAAATTGCACAGATTTGAGGGATGATGTTTGATCAGGAGACCAAGAAGATATTTCATTATCATTCAGTATACTTCAGGAACCACCATCACAGATAAGAGATAGCAATTGGAACCAAGATGTGAATAAAATTGAGGTTCCTGTTTGCAAGATAGAATGTTGAATCACACCCTTGGATAGACTTTTTCTTGTAGCTTTGTAAAGATTTGGACGACACATCACTGGAAAAGTCCTGCGCAAAAATAGGCAGCACCCACTTAAGTAAATTGGAATATTAATTTTCAGTCTGTTGGTGAAAGTGTTGACTTGTTTGTAGCCACATTACTCTCGAGTTGAAATGTGTGGCTTGTGACTTGCATCAATGAGAATTTCTTGGTGTACCTTTTGGGGAAATAAAAGGGTCTTGTATTTCTGTAGTACCTTTCATGGTCGCCAGGTGAGCCAAAGTGCTTTACGGTTAATCGAGTACTTCTAAAATGTAGTTCCTATTGTACAAATTTTGGGCAATACTTTGTGATATTTTAGCATCTGTACAGTTAAAATGCAGATTCTGTCTAACCAAAAATGATGTATGTGACTAACAGCACGTGCCAGAACTAAATTATCTTTTTGTAATTGCTGAAAGGAAATACTGCAGGAAATCCTAACATTGAAATAAAACTGACTTCATTGTTGCTGTATGACTGTACAAGTTATGCCAAAATCCTTCATTAAACTATTGCAGGAGAGTCCTGAAATTTTCATTGAAGTAAAAACTAGGGCATTGTTAGCTGTCTGTGAAATTCTCTAAGTCTGAAACCTCAGACTTCAAAAAATTAGTGGTTATAGTGCCTATAACATTTTAATAAAAAAGAAGTGTTTTGCATCTAAATCATTCAAATTGGCTTCATGCAAACTAATCAAAAACAACTAATTTATTTAGTAGTGCCTTTTAAAGCAGTGAAACATCTCACAACACTTCGTAGAAAGGACCATCTGATATTGAGCAATGGCGGGAAAAGATTGACCAACTGTCCAGTTAACGAGAGCTTTCCTGATCACTCCCCTCCAGTGTTATGATTCGTGTAGATTACTCTTGTATTATAATGTTTTTGAAATATTTTCTTGTGCTTGGTTGGTGCAAGTTCAAACAGTGCAAATTAATTGCCTTGTGGAGATGTCAGAGCTTTGTGTACAAACCTTGGGTGTATTTGATAGCTGTGGATGCAGGACAGATGCTATCTCTGCTGCTGCAGCACTCCCCCGCTATAAGGAGTGCACATTTCGTGTACTGAACCCATGACCTCCTGAATGAGAAGCTGGCAACTGTGGCAGGTAGGAAAATCCTGCATTTAGTCTACCTTGTACTATGCCCATCAGCAAGAATTTCTCTTTATTTAAATAGAATTATATTGTTATTTATGTTTTTAGGACTATGCTAAGAAGTAAAGTGAGGGAATTCCTGAGTTTACTTCCTGAGCAACTACTAGTGGCACGAATGGAGGATCAATTAAAATTGGGAATGCCCCAGAGGCCAGAATTAGAAGAACATGGAGATCTTGAAGTGTTGTAGGGCTGGAGTGTCTTGCAGAGATAGAGAGTGTGAGGCCATTGAAGATTTGAAAATGGGCATGAGAAATCTTGATTTAAGATGTTGCTTGGTTGGGATCCACTTTGGATCAGTGAGAAGGGGAACAGGACTTTTGATGCGAGTTATGACTTAAACAGCAGAGTTTCAAGTTATGTCATGCTTACTGAAGCTTAAATTTGGGAGAGCAGCCGAGAATGCATTAGAATAGGCAGTCAAGAGGTAATAGCATTTCAGCAGCAAATGAGTTGACACAGGCAAAGCTGAGCAATGTTGTCAGTGAGTGAGAGAAAAGGACATGAGTCAACACTAGCATCCTGCTGAAAGGCTTGACCATCAATCCATGTACACATAATCTCTGCTTCCCCACACAACAACGTTCCTGGGAGTCAGGCTGAAGCCACCTTAAACTATTAGAGTGAGATCACCTTCTGTATAAGCACAAGCCAACCCAGCAAAACTAAAACAAGAAATTCTGGAAATAGTCAGCAGGTCAGGCAGCATTTGTGGAAAGAGGAATAACATTAACAGCTCAGTTCAGTGACTTAGTGACTTAAGTCATTTTATTGGAAGAAAAGGGAAATTACGGATCCTAATCACAGACACCTTTGGGATCTTCAGATTCACAAAATATATGGGAATATGAGAAAAATCTTATGGGAGAGTGATGCACTGGTGGCTGTGGGGAGGTGGTGGAGGTTGAGGGTGAACGGGGGGTTGGTTTGAGAGAGCACGAGGAGTTATTACACATCTCTGGACCATGTTGGCCTTAAACCTAGCATCCTGGCTCAAATGTAGAGGCCCTGCCATTGTGTCACAATAACTCTTAATTCCTCAGAGTAATGCCCAGCTACTTCATCAGTTATCTTCACTCCATCATAAGCTTGAGGTTCAGATGTTTGCTGAAAATTGTACTATGCAGCAAGACCTGAACAGATTGTTAATAAACTACCATTATCTTGGTCTGATTATCGACAAGAAGAGAGAATCTGACCATCATCCCTTGATATTTAATGCTACAGCCGTTAATCCAACTGTCAAAATCTTGAGGGTTACCATTGATCAGAAACTGTATTTATATGGCTCAACCAGTTCAATGGCTACGAGAGCAGGTCCGAAGCCAGGAATTCTGTGGCAAGTAACTTACCTCCACATTCCTCAAAGCCAGTCCACCATCTACAATGTACAAGTCAAGAATAGGATAGAATATTCTCCACTTGCCTAGTTCATGGCAGCTCCAACAACTCAGGAAGCTCTACACCATCGAGATAAAGCAGATTGTTTGATTGGCACCCCATCTCATGTCGACAACATTCATTCCCTCAACAACTGACACACAATGGTACCAGCATCTGCTCTCTACAAGCAACAACTCTTGATTCTTTAGACAGCACCTTTCAAAGCTATAACCTCCACCACCTAGAGGTGGAGGACAGCAGAGGGCTTATGTGACTTTGGAGCTGAGCTTTAGAAGATAGCAGAAACGTGTCATTGATTAATTTTAAGGCAGAGGTAGGTAAATTCTTGTTGGGGCTAAGGAATCGTTATCTGGAGTAAATGGCAATTGGAATTCAAAACCAAATGGATCAGTTATGATCTTACTGAATGACAGGTGAGGGTTGATGGGCTGAATGGCCAAACTTTCCAGTCTCAGTAATGTCCTTGTAAATCTTGTTTGCACTTTTTCCAGTTTCGTAACATCGTTCCTATAGAAGGGTGACGAGAATTGTACACAGTAATCCAATGTGGCCTTACCAAAGACTTGTACGGCCACTACGTTATGTCCCAACTCCTGTACTCCATGCTCTGACAAATGAAGGGAAGCATGTCAAATGCCGCCTCCACCACCCTGTCTACCTGTGATGCCACTTTCAAGGAACTGTGTACCTGCACCCCAAGGTGTCTCTGTTTGACAACACTCCACAGGGCCTTACCATTAACTGTATTAGTCCTGCTCTGGTTTGTATTATAAAATGAAATCTTATGTTCTTATAGGAATTAAGGGTTATGGTGAGTGGGCGGGTAAGTGGAGCTGAGTCTCAAAAAGATCAGCCATGATCTTATTAAATGGCAGGGCAGGTTCGAGGGGCCAGATGGCCTACTCTTGCTCCTAGTTCTTATGTTCTAAATACTTTGTATATTCACAATTTTGTATGTGGTTGCCTTTTAAGTAACAAAAACAGGAATTGTGATGAAGAGTCATTGGACTCAAAACATTAACTCTGTTTTCTCCCACAGGTGCTGCAAAACCTGAGTTCCACCAGCAATTTCCCTTTTTGTTTCAAATCTCCAGCATCCACAGTTCCTTTGTTTTTAGTGCCTTTTTAGTAAAACAGTTCACAGCATTGTCAAGCTACACACCAAACACTGTTTAAAAAAGGAATTGAGAATTTTAACCAGAGCAAACAAAAACCTCAACAACTTATCATAGTCAACATATTTATGTGGGTGGATACTTGCATTTTGACACTAATGAGAAGCACCCTGCAGAGTCTAGCTAGGGTGTCAGCAATATTCAGGATGTTAGTTTGTGGGGCCCTGACATCAGTACTAGGGAAATTGGGATCTGTACCAATGGGATGGTCTTATCTTGAACTGTGCTGGGGCTGGTGCGGTGTTCTTATCGACTATATAATTTGGGAAGTAGAGAGTATTTCAAACTGAATATGAGGGCAAGCGATCAAATTTGGGAAGATGTGGTGAATCAAAGAATAGAATTATGGCTAAATAGGAAGGTAGTAATATAGAAATGATAAGCAGGAAGGGGTAGAGAGTATGAATCCAAGAGACAACCAACAGATAAGACTAGAATTTACAAAGAGTAACAGGTTAAAACTAAAGACTCTGTTTCTAAATGAGCTGTAGCATTCATAATAAAATGTATGAACTCAGTGAAAATAAAATTACTTCTTACAATCTGGTAGCTATTACAGAGACATGGCTGCAAAATGACTTAGACTAGAACCAGAATCTTGAAGGGTAAAGGGCATTTAGGAATGACAGGAAAGTTGGAAAACTGGACAGGTGGCTCTGTTTGTTAATGAAGGTGTTAACACAATAGAGGGAGATTACCTAAATTCAGGAAACCAAATTATAGAAATAGTTTAGACAGAAGTGAGAAATGATAAAGGCGAGAAATCATTTGTGGGAGTGGCAGTAATTGCATTATCGGGTGGGCCATAATGGAAGAAATAATGTCAGAAAGGGATAATCATGGGAGATGTTCATCGACTAGAAAGTCAGATGGACAAAGGTAGCCGAGATGAGCTCAAAGTATTTTCTAGAACAGCACATTCTGGAGCTGAGCCAAGAGCAGGTTCGGCCATAATTGAACTGGTATGATGCAATGAGATAGGATTAATGAATGATCTTGTACTGAAGGTGACCGTAAAATGATTGAAATTTTAGGGAGGGAAGAATAGATGTGAGGCATTTTTTCCAAATTACATATGGGCAATTATGAAGGCCTTAAAGCACAGCTAGTTAAGTGCATTGCCAAGTTAGGTTAAAAGACAGGTTAATTGAGATTAATGTTAGATTGAGGAGCCATTTCTGAATATACTGCATAGATAAAAGTCCAGTGAGTATGAAATTTCCAAGGGATTGACACACTTATCAATGGTTTAACTAGAAATGTTAAAGATAGTGTCAAACATAAAGATAAATCATATGATTGCGCAAAGACAGCTGAAGAAGATTGAATAGAAACAACAAGAATAACTTTAAAAATTGTAGAATATGAAAGAAAGCTAGCCAGAAAGACAAAAACAGATAGTAAGAGTTTCTATAAATATTTTAAGAAGAAAAGAGTTAACAAAGTGAACTTTGGTCCTAAGAAAGTGAGACTGGAGAATCAGTGATGGAAAGTAAGCACATAGCAGTTGAATTGAGGGGGTATTTTGCATCTGTCTTAATTATAGAGGATATAAGGAACTTCTCAGAAGCTATGAAAAATCAGGACATGAACAGGAGGGAGGAACTTGTATAAGTCACAATCACAAGAGAAGTGACGCTGAATAAACAGCTCGAGTTGTGAGCTGACAATTGTTTAGATCCTGGTGGACTTTATTTCACGATTTTAAAATAAGTGGCAAGTGAGACAATTAGTTTTAATTTTCCAAAACTCCCTTGGTTTGGGGTTGTTTTATTAGATTGCAAGGTAGTGAATGTGACTCTTATTTAGGAAGGGAGTGAGACAGAAAGCAGGAAATTGAGGCAGTTAGCTTAACATCTGTCACAGGGAAATGTTAGAAGCTATTATTAAATAAGTTAAAGCAGTATTTGGATAAGTTCAATGTAATTGTGCAGTGTCAGCACAGCTGGGTGAAAGTGAAATGATCAATCAGTTAGAGTTCTTTGAGGAGGTAAGACATGCGGTGGATAAAGAGGAACCTGCTGGATGTACTCTACTTAGATTTCCAGAAGGCATTTGACACGGTGCCACCTCAAAGGTTTTTGTGGAAAATAAAATCTTGTGGTGTGGTTATTTTGAATCAACCTGTTCAGATGTGTTATGACGCATGGCTGGGGTAAGTGGGAATTGAACCCAGACCTTCTGGCCCAGAGGTAGGGACACGAGTACTATACCACAAGAGCCCTAAGCTCATGGTGTAGTGGGTAGCATATTGGCATCAATAGAGAATTGGCTGGCTAACAGGAACAGAGAATTTGTGTAAATGGATCTATTTTAGGTTGGCAAGATACACCAGTGGTATGCCACAGGGATCAGTGCTGGAACCTGAACTGTTTATATGACATATTTACATGACTTAAATGAAAAAACTGATTGTGTGATTGCCAAACTTGCTGACAACACAAAGATCAAAAAGTAAGTTGCAAAGAGAGCGAGAGAGCATTACAAAAGATTGATGTGTTAATGAGTGTGCAAAGATGTAACAAGTGAAGTATAATGTGGGGAAAACGTGCAGTTGTCCATTTTGACAGAAAAATTGCAAAATGATATAAGTGATGAAAGATTGCAAGTTCTGAGATGCAGCAGGATCTGGGTGTCCTCCTGCATGAATTGCAAAAGGTTAATATGTAGGTACAGCAAGTAATGAAGGAAGTTAATAGAATGTTATAATTTGTTACAAGAGGAATTAAATATAAAAGTAAGGAGATTATACTTCATTTACACAGGACGTTGGTGAGGCTTCATCAGGTGTACTGTGCACATTGCTGGTCACCTTATTTAAGAAAGCATATAAATGCATTGGAGGCAGTTCAGAAAAGGTTTACTAGACTGATTGTCTGAATTGACAGGTTATCTCATGAGAAGAAGTTGGTCAGGCTTGGCTTCTATCCATTGGAGTTTAGAAGAGTAAGAGGTGACTTTATCAAAATCGTGCACCTTCAAATAAGAGATAGTAGGAACTGCAGATGCTGGAGAATCTGAGACAACAAGGTGTAGAGCTGGATGAACACAGCAGGCCAAGCAGCATCATAGGAGCAAAAAGACTGCCGTTTCGGGCCTGATGAAGGGTCTAGGCCCGAAACCTATATTAGCGTGGGGCTGTCACTGTTTTTTGCATTCTTTCTTTGGGAGGTAACTAATGAGCTTAAAACAGTGTTTTCAGTGTGTAGAACATATTTTTTCCACATTTTACTCCATTTACCACGTCTTTGCTCACTCACCAAACCTATCAATATGCAATGTTTTCGCTGTAGTGCCAAGAGGGCCAGCATCTCTGTCTCAGGCTCGCTACAGTGCTGCAGGGAAGCTCCGCACAAGCTGGAAGAACAGCACCTCCTACACCACTTGAGTGCCTTGTAGTTTCAAGACTCCGTATCAAATTCAATAATTTTTTGGCCTGAGTGCTGTCTCCCATGTCGTTACCTCAACCCCCTCGCACCAGACCTTGTCATCATGTGGGCTGCTACCACAGACAACCCATTGTCAGCCAGTAATGGCCTCCATTAGCAGCTATTGATTCTCCCAAGTTGACCTTTACCATTCTAAGTCTACTCAACTGTTGCTCACACACACCACCAACCCCACATCCCACCCCCCCACCCACACGCACTCACTCACTCTCTTCCTCCCACCCCCATGCACTCTCTCATGCGCTTGCTCTCTCTTGCTCACGCACGATCTCTCACTTGTGCTCTTCTACCCCACCCCCAGCTCTCTCTCCACCCATCATTCTCTCCCCCTGCCCCACTTCACCTTTAGCATATATACCAACCTTTTCCTAGCTACAATCAGTTCTGAATCCAGAACTTTAACCCTGCTTTCTCTCCACTAATGCTACTGGACCAGCTGAGTTTTTCCAGCAATTCATGTTTGTGTTTCCGATTTCCAGTATCTGCAGTTATTTTAGTTTTTTTTATTGGAGCTGCAGTTATTGTTCCAGCTTTCATCAGAACCACTTAAAAATGAGGTGATAAGTTTATGCATCCAATTTGAGTTCTAAGTCAGGGATCTGAACTTGGGTGATAAAGGCTTGAAAGCTAAGAATGTCCAGTATTTGCCTCCTAGTTCAGTGAATTCATTCAATTCGTTATCAGTAAATGGAGACACTAATAAAATTAAGTGGCACTGTGGTGTAGTTGGACATTTCATCAGAATTTTGAAAGTAAAATGTTATATGGGGGTCTCTTTTTATAATCCATCTATTCATGGTATGCGTGCATCGCTGGCTAGACCAGTATGAATTGCCCAGAGGGCGGTGAAGAGTCAACCACATTGCTGTGGGTCTGGAGTTATGTGTAGGCCAGACCAGGTAAGAGTGGCAGATTTCCTTCCCTAAAGGACATTTGTGAACCAGAGGGGTTTTTCTAACAATTGGCAATAGTTTCATGGTCATCAGTGAACTCTTGATTCCAGATTATTATTTGAATTCATCTTCCACCATCTGCCACAGTGGGATTCGAACTCAGGTTCGCAGAACATTATCTATGGCAGTAGTCTCTAGGATTAGGAGGAGACTTGGTATTTCAAGAGAATGTTGGGAGGTGCAGAGAATTTGCTTACAGCAGTGCAATCAACACAGTCAATTGTTTTACCAGGATATCAGCAGCATAGAAATGTTAAAAGAAGCATTCCTTTCAACCGTCAGCACTTGCAGAGACCCAAGATTAGCTGACTACTGGTTCTGAAATTGCTTGATCCCAACTATTTTTGGGAGAGGAATGTCTGATAAAATTCTCTGCGGGCAGGGGAGTTGTCAGGGGACTGAGAACTGGTTCACACTGGAATAGTATCCAAGACTCCATGTGTGTAGATCCTGACTCCACAATATACCTTTCATAGCAAAGGGTGGTTTTCTTAAAATTTTCTTCTCTCCACACCGCCCGCCCCCTCCCCCAAAAAAATACCAAGAGACCGATATTTACATTCTTGCCATTTCTTTCCTTCTTCTTAAAACATTCCACAAGCTGAAGGTCAGGCTCACAAAGAGCTAATTTATTGGTTTTGATTCCGCTGTTTCAGATGGTAACCTTGTGGGAAAATTCACAGGCATCACTATTGTGGAATTTCATTTCTGAAGAAGGGTCTAGGCCCGAAACGTCAGCCTTCCTGCTCCTCTGATGCTGCTTGGCCTGCTGTGTTCATTCAGCTCTACACCTTGTTATCTCTCTTCATTTACCGTGTTCTTTTCATTATCCCTACTTAGTATATCATAGAATACCATATTTGCTCCATATTTGAGAAATGTATAGCTTTTACCCCAGCCCAGTCTGATTCTCCCCAACAGGTTTGTTCTCAATGTGAGGCTCGTACCATTCCTTCCTTTTTCATTTTATCCCATTCTTCTATGCCTGTCTCCCTCAAATCTAGAGCCAGAGTCATTACAGTAACAAAGTAGATCATTCAGCTCATTGAATATACATCAGCTCACTGAATGGCAATTCAGTCAGACCTGTAGCTCCACACTCTCCCCATGGTCCTGCAAGTTTATTAGCCTCAAACACTCATTCAATTTCCTTTTGAAACCATCCACCATTTCCACTTCCACCGCCCTTGAAAACAGCTAGTTCCAGGTTGTTACCAATTAGACATTCTTCCCACATTTCCCCCGTGCAAAACATTTGAAACAGGAAAAACAATTCTCCTAATTGTCCGTTCTTAAGCATGTAGATCTAATGTACCTGAATGATATTTGAATGATTTTAAACCACAGTAAACATACTGAAAGGAATAAATGGTGGGGTCTGCACGTTCATGGGATGTGGGCAGTGCTGGCTATGCCAGTATTTGTTGTCCATCCCTTGTCATTGAACTAAGTAGTCATTTCCTAGTGCGGTTGGGAGTCAACCACATTGCTAAGGGTCTGGAGTCACATGTAGGCTAGACCAGGTAAAGATGGTAGTTTCCTTCTCTAACGGACTCTAGT